GTTGTGTGCATTCCAGTTTTTTTCTGCGCTACAGTCTCTCCATGGGGTTGGCAACGCGGAGATGCTATCGAGCCCCATCTGCGAGGCATTTGTCTCATGAGGCTCAACGACTAAGTGGGACCGCTCGGAGGAGAACGTCCATGCGTTGCTGTTAGTGCATGCTTATGCACGTGGTGATTGGACACAGACACGCACCATCCGATGTTTGCCGGCTATACTCTCGGGGAGAATATGCAGGCTACTGAGTCGCCGAGGAAGAGCCAGCCCATCACGGCACCTCTCCGATGAAAATTTGCGGATACTGGGGTGTAGCGTACGGGGCGATGCGTTAGCAGTAGAATCTACCCCAACACCCCGGCTTATACGCCGCGCTCAACCAACGCCAGCATGGGACTACCGAATGGGCTACCAACTGCTATTGCAGTCTGGATGGCACCAGCCCCATGTCGCGACCTATACCATGGAGATGGGTATCTGGGGACGCGGAGAGCGGATATATAGTGTGCGCTGTATCCCTTCACTGAAACAGCATCAGCATCTCGCTCTTCGTCTCTCACTATCTGTGATTCGCCTCTACAGACATATCATCTGTTGATCCTTGGGCTCTATCTACCTTCGTTCCCAATCTTCATCTTTACCCTACCATCATCATGGGTTTCTTTGGAAACAACGGCTCGCAAGAGCCTACCCTGGACCAAGTCCACGAGCAGCAAGCTCGCCGCCCTTCAGTCGCTGAAGTCGTCGACGAACAGGTTCGCCGCAAGTCTGTCGACAACCGTGTCGTCACTGGAGCTTCTGCTCTTACGGTCCGCCAATCCATCGTTCCCGTCACCTTGGTCACTATCCTCTTCTTCATGTGGGGATTCGCCTACGGTCTTCTCGATGTCCTCAACTCTCGCTTCCAGGTCGCTCTTGATATCACTCGTGGAGAGTCGTCTGGCCTCCAGGCTGCTTACTTCGGTGCTTACTTCATCGGTCCTTTGACATACTCTGGATGGTTCCTCCGCAAGTTCGGTTACCGATACACCTTCATTCTCGGTCTCTCCATCTACTGTGTCGGTGCTCTCATGTTCTGGCCTGCGGCTGTCAAGCGAAGCTTCGGTGGCTTCTGCGGTGCCATGTTCCTTGCTGGTTCTGGTCTGTCGACTCTCGAGACTTCCGCCAACCCTTACATTGCTGTTTGCGGTCCTCCCAAGTACTCCGAGTTCCGTCTTGAGCTGTCTCAGTCCGTTCAGGCTGTTGGCTCCGTCGTTGCTCCCGTCCTCGCTGCTCAGGTCATCTTCAAGAATGTTGGTACCGACGGCAAGTCTCTCGAGGCTGTTCAATGGGTCTACCTTGGTATTGCTGGCTTCGTCGGTATCCTCGCCGTTGTCTTCTACTTCGCACCTATTCCTGAGATTACCGACTCCGACATGGCCGACCAAGCCGAGATGACCACCGCTGCTACCGGCTACGTCGACAAGCCTCTCCGCAAGCAGTACACTCTCTTCTGGGGTACCGCTGCTCAGTTCTCTTACGTGGCTGGTCAAGTTGGCGTTGCTGGTAAGTTTTACCCTTTTTCCGAAAAATATCCGAACATCCTCAAAACACCCCCTATCATCCCACATCCTCACCACACCCTATATCTACTCTAATAGACCATTACTAATCAAAATTTTAGCCTACTTTATTAACTACTTCGCTGAGGCACGCCCTGATCTATCAGTTACTGAAGGTCACCACGAGGGAGCCAACTTCTACGCCATCGCCCAAGCCCTTTTCGCAGTCGGACGTTTCGCAGCAGCCGGACTCATGTACTACGGCGGCAAGCCCCGTTACGTCCTCCTCGCTTTCCAGACCCTGATCATGATCTTCATCAGCGCTGCGATCGGCACCAACACTGGCAGCGCCACCCGTCCCAACTGGGGAGGTCTCAGCATGCTGATGATCGTCCTCTTCTTCGAGTCCTGCATCTTCCCCATCATCTTCGCCCTTACACTCCGCGGTCTCGGACGCCACACCAAGCGCGGTGCTTCTTTCCTCGTCTCCTCCGTCTGCGGTGGTGCCGTTGGCCCCGTCATTCTCGGCAACGTTGCTGACCGCATTGGAACACGGAAGGCTATGTGCATCCCGCTCATCTTCTTCGCGATTGCCTGGTCTTACCCCATCTACCTCAACATGGTCAAGGGCGCCGAGCTCGATGCTTACAGCGAGAGCCATGTTGGTACCACCGATGGTGCTATTGACAACGACTCTGTGCTTGCTGGCAAGGACGTTGAGGCCCGCATGTTTGAGACCAAGGTCTAAATGTGTGTGCTTTGATACTATTGGGTGGGATTACTTTTGGATTAGATGATACCTATGAGGCTTGAACGATGATAGCGCGGCGTTTATGATGGCATGACCGGACTTCGCTTGGTCGGGCGGAGTCTTGTATATACCACGACTTCTTTGTGCATATATAGACTTGCATACTGTTTATACGAATCACTGAACTTTACCACTTATCTTCTCCTCGTAAAATCCCACGCGCGAGATCTCTTCAGTTGCCTACATCGAATATTGCGTTTGACAGGTGCATCTTAATTCTTTCTAAAGACCATATTACACGACTTCGACTTCCTTGCTTTTCGTTCGAAGCAGCGTAGCATATACAAAATCTCATTGTATCGACCATAGGCCGCTGTAAACATATCCCCGCCTCGTACATGACAGTTGCGAGCCACCTCACGCATCCGGTCCTTCCTCATCTCTTCCCACCACCACCTTAAAGTTCGCTTCATCCACCAGCATCCAGAACTCCGCATTGCTCTGTCTAGCCTTCAAACCCTCAAGACACAACCCCGTGACTGTAGGCCCCATCAAGATCTCTACACACTGCAATCTCGGCCAATAGTTCTCGGCCTTCTGCGCGCCAAAGAGATCCTGCAGCCACCTGCTTTCTAAGAATGCAAAGTCAACGTCAAAGACCTTGAGGTGCTGCAAAGAAGTTGGAAGAGCTTGCGTCGGTGAAAGTTCGAAGTCGCCTTCAAAGACGGCGTCGAAACGCATGTTGTCGAGCTTGATCGATATGAGCGCTGCTTGAGGAATGACCAGTTTCTTGAGTTGCGCAAATTGGTCGAATCGCGGTAAAGGTTTGCGCATCGCGCCTGGCAATGTCCAGAAGCCGCCTGGTAGCTTCAAGGTTTCGAGGTTTGGTCGCAGATGTATCATGCCGTCCACGAGGTTCTGGTAGTCGGTGACTTCGCTTCGCGCATCGTATATCGTTCGATCCCAGTGCTGCTCATCTACGTAGACATCATCCTCAAGAGGAGACGGCCCGGTAGGATAGTATTGGATGTTTGCTTGATAGGCAGGAAATGCGCGCACACTTCGATAAGGGTTCTTGCTGTCTGATGACTCCGCGTAGTATTCTAGGGCTTGAAGATTGGGAAAAGCGCGGAGGATGTTCGTCATACACGCTCGAGAGGTGGTGTTCCATACGCCGACGGTCCTGACTTCAAAGTCTAGACGCAGATGTCGGATGGTTGGCTGTGCACGATGGCTGCTGAGGTAGTGCTCGGATGCCATGCGAATTTGCGAGTGTATTTGGCCTTGGAGTCTGATACTCAGGTCGAGGGTGTGCAGATTGGGATAGTGCTCCAAGCCGCCTCCTAATAGCGGCGGTAAGGGGCTCTCGTACTTCAAATAGGATAGCACATGTGCGGTCGGTAGCCTTGAAGCAAACTTCCGCCAACGGCGCGTGTCTTGGAAATGCGGCTCAGCAAGGGTAAGATTTGAATCTGGGTCGAATATGCACAAGGTCGAAATATTTGGTAGCAGAGCTAAGAACACGGAAGCTGAAGCATGTGCAAATGTGCCTTTCAGTTCTGCAATTTTCCCTGTCTTCCACCAAACAGGTAGGTCGAGGGAAGCGATAATCTCACACGCCTTCTCGTAGACGAGATAGTTCACGTGAGGCTCTACTGGACCTCGACCACTAAGCTTCATGATGCCACGATCTTCTGACGGTAAGCATAACCTCAGCTGCTTTATATGTCGTTTCCATTCCGGTCGTGCTTGCAATCTCCAGATCAGGCCGTAGATGTCCGAATTGGAAAGCTCATTCAATGTTCCTGGGAAGCCGACCTCGAGAACGAGCGAAGAGAGCAGTACTTCGCGAGCCAGAACCGTGAACCTCTTACACGTCAACGCAATGTTGAGCAGCGAGCGAGAATTAGCGCGAAAATCGGAAATGAGATACTCGTCTGGAGAGCTTGGAGGGGGATCATCTGGAATGTACCCCAATACACGAATGGACCTATGCAAATCGACGTGCGAGAAGACTTGGAGTAGTATCTCGTTTGGTAGAGTCGTCAACGAGCTGGTGCTGTCGCCTGGGAAGCGTTAGATGATGACGTATGTAACGCGGATGTTTGGCACGCTCACTTCTGGATGTTTGAAGCGGCGGCAGCCCTTCCATTGCTCAGAGCCGTTCTCTAGATGTACCAACTCGATGAAGTACAGGGTGATTGAGATAGCCTGGATTGCAATGCTGCAGGTGCTCGCTGTGCCGCACAGCGCATGCCATCAACGCTAGTCCCAATTTAGCATGGTGGTTTTCCACGGCTCGGCCGGCCGCATCCATCTGGCCTTCCATCATCCAGGCGCGCGACATCGAATTACCACTGGGAGTACAACACTTCAGTCTGCACTTAGCAATGGACGGGGCGGAAAACCGGATGCGCTTAGAAAACTCTGCACCCCAAGATGCCGGGGGCTGGAATTTGCTTTTGTCGATGCGTGCCTCAGACAGCGATTTGTCGCGATCGCGACGCGACGCGTGGCGGGGAAGGACCCAGCAATATCTTCGCGCACCGCCAGAAAGCTGTCTCTACCCATTTACGATCTATGGTAGCGAAGACAACACACCCATGATATCTCCCCCGAAGTTCCACTCAGTAGAAACGGATAGGCTGCATACTCAGATACCCATGTACTGAGGTCAGTTCGGTTGGAATAGACGCAGTTACACAACTACAATGGCGGCCAACAACCTACGAAGCGTTTACCAACAATACAAGCACGATACGGATGTCGTGGCATCATGGCGTAGGTTGCGGCCAGACTTACGAGAGATGCACGCGCTAATCTCCCTTTTCTGTAGTTGCGTCTACAGCCAAGTCATTTGGCTACAACAAGCCCCTCGAACCGCCTGCTCCTACGGAACAGAAGACGCAAAGGCTCAAAGGCAAAGCCAGAAGAGCCGGCAATACTACGCAGAGTGGATCAGACAAGCAGACGTCCAAGCCGAAATACACCCTTGCTATCAAGGACTTCGTACCTTTGTCTGCTCACATTGCTAAGGTCAAAGGCACTGTAGAAGTGCCGGACTACTTCAACGTTGCACTTGATCGGGTGATATCGGTTCGAAGTGCTTTCTCGCACAAGCTGGCAGCTGCCGGCGAAGCTGTCGACAAATCGTCAGATGACCGTCACAGCTTTTTTGTCACTGTCCTAGAAAGTGTTCGCGATGCACTCAAGCCTTTGATGAGAAACGATGCTCTTGATCTCAACAGCATCAAGAATGCTACGCATCGGAGTGATAAAGACCGAGTCAGACAGACTGGACTTCGCAACATCTTCGAGGTTTTGGATGTATATGAGCCATCGGCGGAGTTCTTGGCTGCACCAGACGTGGTACCTCCGCCTAAACCTATGAAACTGGATTACACTGCTGAGGTGCTGACCGACTCCGTCATTGATGCCTTTATGGCAATGACCATGTTGATGGACGACCTCTCCCGCCTTCGTGCTGAGATTTCAGACCTATGGAGTCGGCACCATGCGGGAGAACTCGATTTGGCAACTGTGTCGGTAGCGACCAACACAGCAATTCAGCTTGCGCACAGCATGCACGACGAAGTTTATCCAGTGATGAAGCATCTCGTCGAAAGCGTGCCGTTCCATGAGGTGTACTTTCTGGCTATCGCTAAAGAAGCTGGTGTTGACCCACAAGCGAAAGGTTGGTTCGGCTGGTGGAACGACTACAACTTCGAAGCCTACGACATCGCAGACGCCCTGTTCAACAACGCCCGTAATGGCCTCCTGGTCTACCTTTACAACGATCTCTCCGCGTCCGGGTCAGTCATGGACTACAATGGCAAATGGGGTCGATTCGATGAAAATGAGGGTCCACCACCCAGAACGAACAAGCAAAAGTATGCCCGCGATAAGTCGACGTTGATGGAAGTGTTCCAAGATCTTCCCTTGCTACACAATCATCCGGGAGCGGTTGAGGATCAGTTTGTCATCGCTTTCGAGGCAGCGCGGGCATCCTATGCAAGGGAGAATACGAACAAGCAACCACCAATCTGGTCGTGCTTTGCATTCCAGATATATCTCGACATCATTTACTCTACCGAGGTTGGTGCGGGCTGGACGCAGATGCGCAACGAGTTTACTACGCTCCAGAAATACGTTGAGACATACCCTAGAGCTTCTTCCGACATGAAGGAATTAGTAAAATCGGTCGATAAGATCATGGAGGTCGATCCCATCGCGATCATCCGATCGGCGTTTACTTTTCCCTACAAGGACTATACCGTATGGCGTCGCAACCCCACACATTGTGGTCTTTGGTAGGTCCTGACTGCACGAAATGCATGTGAGACATACTGACCTTGTGCCTTTATCTCTGCAGGATTCACTATGCGCGAAACGTCTTCCATAGAGAAGCTGTCAAGTACGCCGCAACACCCGGGGCGGTCATGTGCGTAACGCAATTATACCATGCCCTGCGCCAGACTGAGCTTCTTTCGGAAGAGTGGAAGGATCTTCAGACGCTGTGGGACATGCAGGGAAATTCGGCCTACTTCATTGGCGAACCCCCTAAAGACTTTGAGGGACATTGGAAGAACTTTCTCATGGCTATTGGTGCTTCAGCAACTAACTGGGCAAGCTCAAAGAGGAATATGAAGGTCAAGGAGACCAAAGCGAACGCACGTTTGTTGAAGTTCAAGGGTCCAATATCGGCCTGGATGGCTTCGCGTATTTCAACAAATGGCGACGAACGACTCATCACAGCTGAAACAATTGAAGACGAGATCAAAGAAGGCGCATGCCATCATTCCTCCCTCGCCGCCGTCATGCCGGCCATTCAAAGGCAAACCCACGTCATACAAAAATTGGCCACTGCTCTCCACGCCGAGGCTACAGAAATCACGTTCGATTACTTCACCATGCATGACCTTTGCTGGGAGTTGATGGAAAGGATGAAGGAGCAGTTCAGTCCTATCATTGCTGCCAAATCTGGGAAGCAGTGGGAAGCACATAAGAGCAACCTGCCGTTTGTTGTTGGCTTCGTCTTCTCTACGGCAGCGGGTAAAAAAGATATCGAGACGGACGGTGTGCCTTCGGTAGAGCTGTTAAAGATCGCTGTGCAAGTTACAAAAAAGTTCTTGGAGGAAGGTAAAGGTAATGTGATTACCGAGAGAGGACGCCTGGAAGGTCAGTTCGAGTCAGCTGGGACAGAAGAAGTGGAAATGTGGAAAGCCAAAGTGAGAGACTCTCTCACCTCGAAGGTCTTCGCGGTTTGAAGTACGTAGAGCACCGCTCACCTTCGTATGGCCTTTTCCTTCAATCGCTTCTTATCGCTACTAAACTATCCATTGCTTTCCATGACACCTTCTCAAAGATATGACGCCAGCTCCGCCTACAACTCCCCATGCCTGCTTCGTCTGCAAACAGCCTGCTGAACAACGCTGTTCCACCTGTAGTAACGCACGCTACTGCTCTACCGCCTGTCAAAAGAAAGACTGGAAGATGCACAAGATGCTTTGCAAGTCCTTCGCAGATCTTGAGCCACGACCTGGTGCAACCTTCTTTCGCGGTCTCCTCTTCCCCGGAGATGAGCCTTTGCCACGTTTCGTCTGGATCGAATACGCCAACGTCAAGGACTTCGGATCAATATACTGCGAGCCTTTCCTCGGTCGCAAGATGTTGAATCACATATCCCACACCTGGCCCACCCTCAAGCGCATACCCTCGCACAGGGTCGGTATCTACTATCATGACAACTACATGAACGAGAACCTGCCCACCACTCCGAGTTTGACCAAATGGCTGGGCCCAGCTGCAGGCAACTACTTCCGTGGACCTTTTCTAGCCCACGGCTACGAGAATGGCATTGAGCTTGACGATGAGTTCGAGTCCGGTGAGGGAGGGCCCTGCGATCTTGACACGTCGGCTTTGGCTACTCTGTTGGCGTTCTTCCAGGCGCAAGGTACCGTTTATCTTGACAGGAAGAGGTTCGGCAAAGGATTCTCCCATCCAAACATCATCGAGGTGCGCTCCGATGCGTACTGAGAGTCGGTTGCTCCGGGAGAAGGGCCGAACGTGGTGGAGCTATCGGGCTTGTCGACACCTGGGGTAACATGGCTTTGCAAGTGCGTGGCGGCCTGTCGCATGGACACCCTTCCCAGTATTTCATCTTACTCATTTCACGAAATAGTTTTCTGGTCTCGAGAATGCGCATTGTGGTTACTGGCGTAACGTGGGGCAGGCAATGCCGTCACTGCTTGATGTTAGCACCTGCTGCATTGAGCAAAGCCCCGCACTATCTGCATAGGGCGCGCCGGCGGCTATCGTAGGTATACAACATCTTAGCAAAAGTCCTGAAATCCTCAATACTGTATCTTCAACTCACATCGCTCTTGATAATCCGACATTGGCATCATGACGTTCGATATTTCGAAAGCTCGGGAGCGCTTCCCCGCACTTCAGCAAGATCAAGTCTTCCTTGACAACGCCGGCGGCAGTCAGGCATTGGGTGATGCGATTGACTCGTAGGTGGATTGCCAGATCGTGGGTATACACAAGGACTGATATGGATACAGAATAGTGCAATACCTCTCCAAGACCAATGTTCAGCTTGGCGCTTCATACCACACCGGCACGCAGTCGAACACGAAGTACGAGGAGGGCTACCAAGCAGCCGCAAAGTACATGAATGCTGGCCGCGATGAGATCGGTAACGAAACCATCAAATCCATTCACACCTGGGCATCCTGTTGCTGACGATGAACAGTTCTCGGTGCTTCAACAACACAACTCTTCATGAACCTCGGCTCATCCCTGCAATTCCCTGCGGGTTCAGAATTCATCCTCTCAAAGATGGAGCACGAGACTAATGCGAAGCCCTGGCTTTTCATGGCCGAGCGCCTCGGTTTGACTGTGAAGTGGTGGGCGTCTCCAAAGGAGGATGGACTCAAACTCACAGCCGAGAACCTCAAGCCGCTGTTGAGCGACAAAGTAAAATTTGTAGCATGCACGCATGTGAGCAACATTCTGGGGACTATTCATGATGTGAAGTCTATTGCAGAGGCGGTGCATTCGGTTGGCGCGCTGTTCTGCGTGGATGGCGTTAGCTACGCGCCGCATCGTGCGATTGATGTGAAGGATTTTGGAGTCGATTTCTACGCATTCAGTTGGTACAAGGTTCGGCCGGAATTTACTCTACTTCCTTGTCAGCGGGTACTGACAAAATGACACAGGTCTACGGCCCACATGTCGCCGCTCTCTACGCAAGCAACTCAGCCCAACAGCACATGAAACCATTGGCCCACTTCTTCAACCCCACGAAGACCCTCGAAGATAAGATCGGATTCGCAGGCTCAAACTACGAGTGCGTGCAGTCCATTCCGACCATCACGGCTTACCTCACCGACGCTTTCCCCGCCATCACCGAGCATGAGGGAAAGCTGCAAGCTATCCTTCTCGACTTCCTGAACTCACGACCAGATGTCACGATCTTGGGGTCTACTTCGAGCGACAGCAAGGAAAGAGTACCAACGATCTCGTTCACGGTCAAGGGCATGAGCAGCAAGGCGATCGTGGCTGAGGCGGAGAAGATTAGTAACTACGGGTTTAGGTGGGGGCATTTCTACTCGAAGAGGCTTTGCGATGAGTTGTTGAAACTGGAGCCGGAGGGTGTGACGAGAGTCAGCATGGTGCATTATAACACTGAGGAGGAGATCAAGGGATTGGTCGAGGTGTTGAAGAAGGTCCTTCCGCAGGTTTAGAGGAATGAGTGGCGCTAACACTGAGATCTTTGGGGGAAGCATGCATTGATATCTCTTGTAGTAATCAAAGTATGAGCCAAATACTAGGGTACGCCCCTACCTAATAGTCATCAAAAAGTACCACGATGAAGAGAAGCAATCCGGCCAGAGAAGGTCCATCGCCAGTAAAAGGCCTTTCAGATCCTTCCTTCCAGACCTGCTCATGAGCTTCCCAGTAGTTGAGTGTCGTCTTTGAGCCCATCGACTCTCCACATCTCAGGGCGCAGACGTCCTCCATAAGGTGTGTTGAGCACGTCCCGCATATGGGCAATGCAATCTGCTGGTACCGAGACCTGAAGCATTCCATCAATACGAGATGAACACGCGGCTGAAATTGCGTTCAAGTTTCTAGCAAGAGAGAACCAGTCGTTGACCCAGCGGTCTAGAACGAGATTGCTGTCGTGCAAAATGATGTGCATACTGAACGTTCCTTGGTGTGAAGTAAGAATCGCCCGCTTGTAGAACTCGAACGTGGCAGCCTTGTTCTCGCGGTGTTCCGCAGCGTTGTCCCCCTCACTGATGAATCCTCTCTCCATCCACTGATGGAGACTATGCATTGCGTTGGAGATGCTATGCTGTCCATCATCGTCCTTCTGAGCTCTCAGGAACCGGTATGCAAGGTCTTCCATCAAATATTCGGTCCGATAGAGGTGATCTGACAAATCGTCCGAGCTGCTGTTTGCAGGAACCTTGACGGTGACTGATGGGTATCTCTTCAAACGGCCGCGCTCTATTATGGGGTAGGCTTCTTCGCGAACTACTCGACTGACTCTCAGTATTCCTACAGAAGGCTTCGTATGGCAAATTTGCAGGTGAGGTCCGACAAGTAATCGAGTCACGGGCATGGCCACCAGCTCATCATAGACGCAAAGACGTATATCGGCGGGTAATCGCATGAACGGAAAGGTATTGGATCCAGTATTGCTGGTGACTGAGGCCTTCATATGGTCATGCCACTGCATGTCGGTGTCGTCGGGAGAGGGTGAAGTTATTTGCTGTGTGTTCTTTTCTTTCGATGGGTGCGTAGAGGAGCAGTAGTGGGCATCGCCGGTCTCGTCGCAAACCTCCCAGTAGTTAGCACTGCAGGAACCCAGTTAAGATTCTTGAAACATACCATATTGAGGAGATATTCGTTCGTAACAGAAGGCTGATCTGCATCGGTACCTGGAGCAGCAGGGTTCTTTGGCAACTCTATCTCAGGGAGTGGTATGGTTGTTGCTGTGGCAGTCATTGCGGTGTTGGTGGGTCGGTCGTGGTATAGCGTCGGTGACGAGGAAGGACCGGTGTGCGAGTCTGTGAGAGCTAGCGCCGTTGGAAACTTCGCCATTTCCACGTTCACCTTTACCACCGCAGTAGCGCACAGACGCAATTATGTAAGCGCGATCGTTGAAGTAAGAGGCATCAATGCATGCATAGAAAAGGTACACTGCGAAAGAACCAGTAATCTTGCTAATTATAAACTGCCGCCAACTCTACGCTTTCAGGTTTCGCCAAACAGCCGTCTCAAATCTTGCGACAAGATCGAATGTCTTGCGATCTGCCCAAGGTGACACCTGCGTGGCAAAGAACAGCGCAATTCCCCTCTCACGATTGACACTCCACTGTAGATTCGGAAGTCCTGACCAGCACAACGTACCCTTTGGCTTGAAGTAGTTCTCTCGATCCACATCTTCCATCAACAACAGGCTACCCAGTCCGAAGTTCGGTTTGACGCCTTCCATACTGGCGTCCAAAGTGCAGGTATAAGCGAGCTCAGCGTTATCGACGAGTGCCTTGGCCGCGAGACTGTCTTTGGCGAACTGCGGGCTGAACATGGCGTCGACCATAGTTTTGGAGAGGATGGTAGGCGAGGGTTTGAGGAGATTGGAAAGCACGCGCGTGTAGTCGTACACATTGGCGTACAAGCCCGCTCCACCACCTTCTCCAACAGGGTCGCCAGACCAAAAGGGTGTTGGGCCATCTGTGAGGCTGCCATCGTCTTGCCGAGTGCTCGTGCGCATCAGCTTTTCTTCCACTGCGGGCTTGCGATTGAGATGCCAGGTAAATGAAGTTATACCGAGAGGCTTTGCAATGTTGGTTTCGACATATTCTTCGAAGCTCATGTTGGTCAAACGTGTGATGAGCAAACTGGTCCAATCGAAACCACCGCTGTATTCCCAGCCTTCTCCAGCTTCGAAGGTCCGTGGATAGGCATACTTCTCAGCCACGTTGCCATCGGTTATCAGCGCGGGCAGTTCGCCACGTGAGGCTCGCCACGCATAAAGACTTGGAGAAGCCCAGTCTACAAGTTATCGAAATCAGTCTATGCTGTGTGCTGTCTATCTAGAAACACTTACCGTACGTCGTGCCACTGGAATGCGTGATAAGTTGACGCAGGGTGATGGACTTCGTGGCTGGACGCACTTTGATCTCGGAGCCGTCTATTTGAACGATGGGTTGGGAAGCCAGTTCTGGTAGGTACTGATCGACTGGTTCATCTAGCGTGACTAAACCGTGTTGAACGCACTGCAGGGCAGCAATAGCGGTGATGAGCTTTGTGCAGGATGCAATGAAGAAGGTTCGATCGAAGTCCATAGGCTCCGCATCTTCAGTGACGCCATTGTAACCTGCGGTCTTCTTGTAGAGAAATTTGCCTGCAGCGCGTGTGAGATAAATATATTTGGAGATAGTATGGGGAAAGTACCGTCCTTATCAACAACAGCCATGATCGCTCCGGGCACAATGTCAGAGCCTTTGGCAGTCGCCTTCTCGAGGTATTTCTCAAATGCGTCCATTGCAAAGAAGTAGAAGCAAACAATCTGGATGGATTGACCGCTACAGTGATCTTCGAGGTATTCGAGTTGTTGTGTGGGCGTTTCGTCCTGATAAGATGACGACAACTATTTATGCAGTTGCTATTAGGCCACCATCCATCGCTGACTAGCATTCATACCGCATTCCAAGCCGTAAGACAAGGCAACCGTGATTTATAATGAGCGTTAGCAAACTTGATGTAGTTGAAGGGTGGGGGCGAATGCTTATGTCCGATCGCCGTGCAGCGAAAAAGCATTGCAGCCATTGGTCTCGCGAAGCCAGCCAACTTTGCCTGTAGTGTCCGTTTTGGTACCATCTCGAGTCTACTGTGGCGATTACTGGCAAGAGGGTTTGCCGCCAGGCAATGCGTGGGGAACGAACCGATCAAATCCCCTCATCAGTCGTCTGCCTGCTGTTCCAGAGAGTCCTGCCTGCTCTTGGTATGTGCCATCTGTGCACTCCATGATTGTACAAATTGCCAAATCGGGGAAGCAGTCCACGGGTATGTGCAGACGAGCAATGTCGCTCCTTCTTCACACCGATCATGTCCATCTGTGTGACGATCCAAGTAGAGTGCAGGGTGAAGATGACATACATACGGGCTAAGGCGATCGGATAAAAGCCATGCCGACTCTGCGAAAAGGTCACAATCGGGTTGAGAGCTGTCATCCCACCGAACAACACTTTTCACGTCGTCCTGAGAAATTGCATTGTCAGAAGCACACCAGCCGGACTAGGTTGGAGCAGGTAGACGTCTGCGCAATGTTCGTCGCCGCAGTGAGGCTGGTGCAGGGTCGAGAGGAACGTGTCTGGAAGCTCGGACGAAACACGGTTGACGCTCGGGCCCTCTTGCTTTGACATCTACCCCTGCACCCTCTATCTCACACTTGATGTCATCTCCCCTCGCATCTCATCTTATGTATACGACATTCTCGCAAATCTTCATGCTCGGTAAAATTCACAACAACACGGATAGCCACCGGCAATGACGACGTCGATCACCCAGCCTCTGTCCAGTCGGAAGAACTCAAGCCGAGCTGCACCAATGGGGAAGAGCGTTGCAAAGCCGGTCCGACGACCCCAAACTTGGTGCGGTGATTACCCCGGGTTTCCAATGTAAATACGGCGTCTTGAGCGGTAGCGCACTTCTTCAGAGGGCTATGTGGGGTAATTGATGAACATGTTACAGTAGACAAGGTTCTCCAGAAATGACATGCGCCACTCGAAATAGCGCAATGCCCATTGCTTCTATAAATCCTCCGGGGCATCGTCGCTCGATTCACAAGGACGTTCATCGCATACGCCAGTCACCATGCGCTTCTCTCCAGCTATTGCGCTCGCCAGCTTATTGTCTCGGTCGGCCGTGGGAAGCCCACTCGCCAGCAACGAGCTTACCAGTCGGGCTACAACGTTCAACAATCCAGTCTTGTGGCAAGACTATCCCGACCTCGACGTCTTCCGGATAGGCGATGTTTTCTATTACTCCTCCTCGACTTTCGCCTTCTCGCCAGGAGCTCCGGTCCTAAAGTCTTACGACCTCGTTAATTGGACACCAGTAACTCATAGCGTACCAAGACTTAACTTCGGCTCGATATACGACCTCGATAACACAGCAGGCCATGCTTACGTCAAGGGCATCTGGGCCAGCTCACTGAGATACCGCGAATCGTCCGACAAGTTCATTTGGATTGGTTGTGTTCAATCCACCGGGAAGTCGTACATATGGACTGCCGACGGGAACAATGCAGCCGCCAACAATGGCGAAGTGTCGAGCTGGAATTGGACTGCCGCGGGCTCATTCCCCAAGTGCTATTACGACAACGGGATCTTTATTGACGATGATGACACCATGTACATCGTGTACGACAAGTACCAGCTCAAGGTTGCCCAATTGAACGCCGACGGCACAGCGGAAGTCAGGAGTCAACAAGTCTATGAAGATCCAAATGGCCTATACCTCGAAGGTTCGCGCATGTACAAGATCAACGGCACATACTACATCTTTGCTACCAAGCCGGCCGATGACGAGTGGGTGTTGAAGTCAAAGAGTCCCTGGGGCCCATATGAGGCGCGAATCCTCGTCGACAGCATTGCAGGACCTTTGCCGAACGCAGGTAACAGCCACCAAGGTGGCGTAGTTGATACCAAAGATGGGAAGTGGTATTACGTTGCGTTTATGGACTCGTACCCTGGTGGACGCATTCCTGTCGCTGCGCCTTTGAAGTGGACGGCGGATGGATGGCCGGAAGTTGAGAAAGTGAATGGTGAATGGGGCAAGACATACCCTATGCCAGTCACAACCGCCAAGACCGTCCCCCCACCCACCGGCTTGGACAAATTTACTGGAACAGCTTTAAGTGCAGAGTGGGAATTCAACCACAACCCTGATACCAGCAAGTGGAGCCTAGTAGGCGGGGCTGGTGGCATCAAGTTACAGACTGCTTCTGTTACGAATGACCTCTACGCGGCGCGCAATACGCTGACACACCGTATCCTTGGCCCGAAGTCATCGGGAACTTTCAAGATCGACATCAGCAAAATGGCCACTGGCGACCGTGCTGGCGCTGTACTTTTCCGTGACACCGGAGCATACATCGGTATACATAAAGAAGGCTCTGCGGCAAAGCTGGTAATGGTCAACGGCTTGGAATTGAACGCAGACCGAACGACGAAGTCTACCGGTACTGTCGCTGCCACGGGGCCTAGTCTTGCTGCCGGCACAATCGATCTGTGGCTCCGCGTTCAGTCAGACATCACGCCAGCTTTCTCCAACACCAACGCGGTGCGACAAACAACCTTCTGGTACAGCACTGATGGCACCAAGTTCGTGCAGCTTGGTCCTGCATACAACATGGCGAATACATGGCAGTTCTTCACGGGATACCGATTCGGTGTGTTCAACTTTGCGACAAGCAAGCTGGGTGGGGAGGTCCTGGTTAAGAACTTCGAGTTGAAGTTGGTGTAGATTCAATGTGTACTATTATGATAAGGTGACGTTATCGATGTTACGGCCAGCCTGCTTCACAAAAATCTACAAACAACATCACCGTCGCATCGTCGTCTGCAATCTGAGGATGTATTCATCGGTGAAGTTACGGACCGGAGATAAGGAGATATGACGCAGCTTCTGATATCGTCACCGCAACATCCGCTGCTGTATCTCCACATACCACGGCACGTGCAAACAGCGTTTGTACGTCTACAACCAAACAGCATTCGGTACTCACAGTTACCCCAATATATTGACGCGTCACATTCATAGATCCCCAGAGTTATTCCCATGCTACCCGTGACTCCACACTATCACAGTAGCACGCAATCACGCAATAACAGACAGTCGGCCCTGCTTGCATATAAGCTCTGGCATCATCACTCTCCATCACCTAGGTCGAGGACACTCGCCATTTATAACTCATACCGGTGACTCATAGAGACTGC